AGGGTTTCCAAGGAGCAGCTGGTGAGTTTGAACAGCTGACCTTGCAATTAAAACTAACTTTGCAGTACCACACCAGAACACTATATATAAATTGTTGTTAAGTGCTATAGAGTCAGTTCCAACTCATAGTGACTATGTGTAGGAGTTCCAAGTAGCAGGTGGCGGTTGTTGTGGTCCCGTCAAGTCAGTGACAACTCATAGTGACTTTATGCACAACAGGATGAAGCACTGCGGTTCTGGGCCATCCTCACAGTCGTTGCTGTACTTGAGCCTGTTGCTGCTGCCACTGTACCACTGCAGCATCTTGTTGGGGGGTCTTCCCTTTTTTCTCTGACCCTCCACTTTACCAAGCATGATGTCCTCCAGTGACTGGCCCTTCCTAATAATATGTGTGAAGTATGAGAGATGAAGTCTGGCCATTCTAGTTTCTAAGGTGCATTCTGGCTGTACTTGTTCCAACACAGATTTGTTTGTTCTGCTGGCAGTCCATGGTACTTTTAATATTCCCCAACACTATAACTCAAATGCATCAAATCTTCTATAGTTGTCTTTATTCATTTGCCAACTTTCACATGCAAATGAGATATTAAAAATACTTGGGTCAGTATTAACCTTAGTCCTCAAACTGACATCTTTGCTCTTTAACATTTTTAAAAGGTCTTATGCAACAGATTTTCCCAATGCAATACATCATTTGATTGCTTGACTGCTGCTTCCTTGAATGTGATGGTAAATCCAAGTAAAATGAAGTCTTTGATAACTTCAATATTTTCTCCATATATCTTGATTATATTTATGTATGTATATATGTTGTTGGTAAGTATCATCATCATATGTATATTTGTGTTGTTATTAAGTGCCATTGCATCAGTTCGATTCAACCCTGTATAGGGTTTCCAAGGAGTGGTTGATGAATTTGAACCACCATCCTTGTGCTTGGTAGCCTAGTATTCAGTAGCGCCACAACAGGACTCTGTATGTCGAACAGAAGTCAGGCAGGTCCAGCAGATAAGAAGGCAGACTGCTGAGGACTCTTCCAGGGTCAGTAAGTAATAAAAGTAGGTCACTGACTCAAGTTCTAAGAACCAGAGGTCACAGAATGAGCCAGATGCAGCAACCAGACCCAACAGAGAACAAGTAAGCTTTGCCTGAGTGTTGAATATATTGAAAGCAGGCCACACCTCTGAGGAAACTAGCTGTCAGTTATGCTTTCAGTTGATTAGCTGCTCATAGCAGACTTAATCATAAAGTTAGTTACATTATGTTAGATTTCACTATAGGGATAACTACATCTCAACTGCCAAACCACTGAGAATCCTGGCCCAGTCTAGTTTCCACAAAACCTTTAACTATAGAGAGATGCAGGGCCTGATGGAAGAGTAGGCAGAAAGGCTGTGTGGGCCCTCCAGCAAAGATATGGAAGACTGGATAAGACAGATACAGAGGATGATCCCGCAACTCTGTGCTTCAGATAAAAGGATAAGTAATTGGATCAAGTGCTTACTAGGAGAGAGAGTTAGACACAAGAAAGAAGGTGACTTCTGATTTGGGGCAGCCAACATTATCTGCCAGAGCTCTTTTGTCAGATGTGAGTGGATTGAGAGACAAAAAAACTCTCCTTTTGGAAAAGCCTGCCTGTGACTTGCTTGAGACAAAGGTGTGATTTTTTTTCTCTTCTCTTTTCCTCGCTGGTTCCTTGTATCGTCTGGTGACCAGAGGTGAGACCTGTATGGACACCCCAAGGAAACATCTTGCTCAGATCCTGTGGCTGGGTGCATAATTGAAGCGGGGAGGAGACAGCCAGCTTCAGCAGGCCCTGCTGTGTGGCACTCATTAGGAGAAGCAGCTAAACAAACTTGGGGAGTAGAGAAAAGGGGAATGAAAAAAAGACTGGTTATAACCAGAAAGGCACAGCCGGACCATCTTAAAATTTCTCAAGTAGCTGTGAAGGCAAGAAGCCAGTAGGTGGCCCAGAACAATTATGCTTAATTTTCTGCTATTTCCTGTATTTTTTTCCCACTATACTTTTTGTTTTTCCTTCTAGTTTTCTTTCTTTGTTCTTCTCTTGTGGGAATGCTTTCCCTTCTTGCCTAACCTTATGGGAGACAGCAGCTGCAGCCATACAGCCCAACCACAGCTGTACCCTCTTCAGCCCCACCAATTGAACCAGAGTCATTACTAGCTGCTATATAACGTATCAATGACAACTACCATTAGCTAAATTCACCCTTAACTGAACTTCATGAATAGAAAACACAGAATGGTGCACAAGTTCATCTCTTGATCATACCCACCATAAGATAGTTGGTGACTGCCTAAGAATATATAAACATACATTCATCATTTTAATAAAAAATACATCACAGTGCATTGAAACGATAGGCTGAATGGGTAAACAAGGGGAAATAAAATTGTTTTATTAAAACAAAAATGTGTGTTTGACTGTTTTACTTCTATCTACTATTGTAAAGTAGACATTTATGTGTGATAGAAATGAATATTGGGAATTATGATTACAGAAAATTTTAAGCCCATCTTCAGCTTATAACTGATTGGATTTGCTAAAAGGGGAATTCGAATTTGCCCAGAGAAATCGGCTCTTTGTTAATCCTTTGTAGAGTATAGGGCCTTAATTGGAATCTGAACCTCACCCAGAGCTTTCTGAGTTGTTGGGATATTTCCATTTGAAAAGATGTAGACCAATCTAAAACTGCTGAGAGAACAGAAGATTCTTATTGAAAGAAATACCTGCAAAACAAAAGTAGACTGTTTGGCTGTTTGAATATCAAGCAAGCTGTTTGCTTTGGTGGCATAAAGGCAAGAAACATCAACCAACCCCTCAAGGAAAACCTCTTCTAGGACTGAAACTCAAAGGGAACCCATAAGCAATCTAGTATGTTAACTGGTGGCCATCTGGGTCTACTTGTGAGTGGAAGTAGGGGGAAATGCAGCAATGAACACATGGACTGAGTTTGGCCATGTTCCTTTGACACCCATTGATCCGGAGATGAAAGAGAGAAGAGGAAAGGCTGGCTCTTGTGAAGTTTAGGAAGATGTGTGAACTCCCAAACCCATGGGCACTGACTGAGCTACTGGGGGCTAGAGCTGAGAGTGAAGTGGCCAGCTGATCTGAAGTGCAGGGAGATGTGCGTGAACTCCCAAACTTGGCAACTATTACCCATTTGAACTAGTTTGGATGGCTAGCTGACCAGAACTCAGCCAAATGAAGATAAAGATGCTTGACTCTGTGAACACATGTAAATTGCTACAATTTGATGAACTGGACCTTTGCTTATGAATGAAATTGCTCAAAATTTCAACTGGAATATGGATTCTTCATGTCAAGGAACAAACTTGTTTCCTCAGTGCACTGGGTTGATTGTTGTTGTTGTTAAGTGCTGTGGAGTTGGTTCTGACTCATAGCGACCCTGTACAGGGTTTCCGAGGCTGTAAATCTTTACGGGACCAGAAAGCCTTATTGTCCTCCAGCGGAAAAGCTGGTAGTTTCAGACTGCTGACCATGAGATTAGCAGCCTGATTCATAACCCCCACGCTATCAAAGCTGGGTTGATAGGGATGAGTAATCTAGACACTGGCTATCAAAAATGGGGGAAGGGGTTTATAAAGCCACA